TGCTGAACAACAAAACCATTGGACAGAGCCTCTGTTTCACTTTGATGCTTATTTCCATCATCAGAGCAACTTTCAAGCTTGTTCTCTTGATTCGGGTTTACCTCTCTTTCTCCGATAGGCAGAAGATCCGTTGTGGGCTGGGTTGGGTAATCTTGGGTTTCCGGAGGAATGGAGTTAACGACCATATCTGTGACGGTGCATGCTTGATTTTCTTGAAAATGAGAGGTCGGCAGCACAGCACCGGCGCTTTCAGGTACCTCTTTCCCAACACCCTCTTGGTTGAAAGGCGGCGAGCAGGGAAGAGAGCAGTCCTTCCTATGCGGTTTCTGGGGACCATCCATCTCCAAAGCAGAGCCCACCAGACCATCAGCGTGCAGCAGAGCGCAGGGTCTCGCCGTCTCTTCTCTTTCAGGTGGTCTGTAGTTACCTAAAACACTGTCGGGGAGGTGATGGTGACCGTTCTCGACCGCCTCCATGGGCACGGCCCCACAGTGATGCAGCGAGGGAGGAAAGGTGGGTGCCCTTTTCCATGTCCCTTGCTCTACCGGGCTCACGGTGGGGTGATGGACACAATGGCTGTTGGCCTCGGGAGGACAACTCTTCATGACGAAAGAACTCGATGCGTTAAGCAGGGACGTGCCGTATTTCTTCTCATCTGAGAGCGGAGTGCCGAAGCTGGGGACCTCTCCTCCCTCGACCCCACCGCTTTGCAAGCATTTGGGGTGAGAAAAATTGGTCGGCAAGGGCAGGCTGGCTGGAGATTCGCCCGTGTAGTGACAGCCATTGAGAGACTTCTTCTTGCCACTTCCTTCTCTGAGAACCTTTGCACTGACTGCGCCGGCTCTTGTCTCCGGCACCAAGTGGTGATCCTGGTGGAGATCCTCCTCAGAGGGACCGGGGGGGCTGGTGGGACTCGCGGGAGCACTGCGCAGGGGCTGTGCCCCCTGCCCCACCTGATTCCTCTCCAGCCTCTCTGCTGCTGCACTGCCCAGCGTTTCTTTCTCAAGCAAACTACAGCTTAAATGGGATTGCTCGTGTTTTTTAAATGCCAAGGTCGCTTTGTTTTTATCTTGCTCCTGCTCTTCCATGAGCTGATCAGCTTTCTTTCCTTGCCCTGGCAGTGGGGTCACCGCTGTGTTTTTGAGTGGCGAGAGGTCATTACGCTCTTGGGAAACACCATCTGCACAGATATTAATGTCATTTGGCTCCGCGTGTTCATTTGCTAAGTGCTGCAGCTCCGTTACATTATTGTGCAGCTCTGGCTTCGCAATCGTGGATTGTTTTGCACGGTAAGAGCCCATTGCACCGAATGACTCCAGCTGCTCGCATGCACCGGAGAAAAGCACAGCCTCTTTCGCTGGGGCAGCAATATTTTCAGCGTTGCCTCCAATGGGGACGTTCCCCTCCCCTTGGGCAGGGCAATATGTCCGATTTTCCCCTTCCGAGGCACCACCACTCTCCTCTTTCTGCTCCGGCTGGACGCGGGCGGTAGCAGAGGGGTGGCTAGGAGCAAGCAGCATGGGGAAGCACGGCATCAACAGCTCCTCTTCGTTGCTCTTCACCGTTCGGGCAACGAAGAGCTGGAGCTGCTGCAGAGGGTTGGCAACCGTCTCCTGGCATGCCAACATCTTCTGGGAGCCGCAGTCGCTCTCCTTGGGCAGGCTCAGCATATCGAACAGCAGCACTTTTTGCTTGCTGGCTTTGTCGCCTGGTCCGGGGGCTGGATAGGGGGTGGGGGTCTTCCTCTCCTCCGTTTCTTCCACCAACGCAGCCCCACCACCATCCCCTTTGAAGTCCATGGCGCTTTTCGCCACTTTGGGTGACTCGGGCTTGCTTAAGGGTCTTTCTTCTGCGTCTGGGACCTCTTTGATGTGAGGCGAAAAGGCGAGATCCAAGGCTGGGGTGGGACCTTGCTGAAAGCCAAATTCAGGTTTACGGTTTGGAAGATGTGCATCAAACTTCTCCAGCTCTGCAGCATCAGCGAAGCTTTCATCTGCTTTCCCTGGCAGAGGGGAGCTCTCGGCACCACGCTGGCATGGCAGGGATGGCAGGGGATCTTTGGTCGCTTCAGCTGCCGCCAGGGCCTTGGGGAACACGGAGTCGGTGACAACAGGAGGGCTTTTTGTCATGGGGTCTGTGTAGACGGGAGCCTCTGTTTGGTCTGGCGTGCGTGAGCCAGGTAGACTTTTGGAGGAAGACCCATTTTCCATCTTTCCAGGGTCACTTTCCTCGGCAGCCGCAGCTTCCCGGAGCTGCTCGCCACTGTCTTTGGAGCAGAAATGGTCCACGGCGAGCGGGGCTGGTGTGCACATCCCTGCCTCCAGCGAGCCCAGCTCCACCGGGCAGGGCCAGGGCTCCCTGGGTCTCTCGTAGTCCCCGCGGGTGCTCACGATGGCCGGCTTCTCGCCCTCCAGCCTCTCCCCAGCACAGAGGCTTGAACTGCCCAGCTCGTCTGCCAAAAACAGTCCTTTCTCCTGGCCCGCCTCCTGCTCGACTGGCAGCGGTGGGAACTGCTCAGCCGCCTGTCCTCGCAGATGGGCAGCGACGTGTTGCTCAGGTTTCTGAAGGGCGACGGATGCCTCGCTATCCAGCTTGCTGGTTTGCAGTTGACTTTCCAGCTCTGTGACTAATCGCTTAATCTCCAGCTCATCGTCTGATATGTTGTTCATAAAAGTCACGTTATAATCCGTTATCCTGTCGGGCAGCGGCAGGGAGAGTTGGCTGGTGGGGACAGGTCCTTCCTCGGGGAATTTCTTGGCTAGTGGCTTCTCCACTGAAAGGCTGTGGAACTGAGTCATGTCTTCTGGCAGCATCGGAGCCACCTCCTCCATGAGGGACCAGTCTTTCTCTGGCATGAACGGCGGGTACGGTTGCTCGAATGGCAGCGGCTTGCTGGGGGGATTGCTGGGGCAGGCAAATGTCACATAACTGTCCTTGCTCGTAGAAACGCTCTCGTACAGCGGCGGATCAAACTCGGTGACGGGAAGCTCTCCAAATATTGAAGAGGAATCGAAGCCGAGAGGGGAGGAGACCTTGCCCTGCGGCGTTTCTGCGGCGTAGGGGGAAATGCTGGCGTGCTTCTGCTCGAAGGAGCTGGCGTTGATGTCGTCCCGGCATAAGTACATGTCATCCATATGCGAGGAGCCCAAGGCTGGGGGCTTTGAGAAGAGGTTGTCATCGTAGGGACCGGGAAGGCCTTTGGGATCGAAAAACGCGTTGTTGCTGCTGATGTATGGATCGGGCGCCTTGGCAGTGAGCATCATCCCCACTGCATCTCCCCCATACGGGGCAACCGGCGCGGGATAGTCCTTCCGACCGTCACAGAGCCCGTGTGCCTTCAAGTATTTGATGCCCGCTTCCGAGTAGGCAGCACTCACGTTGCCGGGACTAGCTTCGTTACTGCCGTGGGATGGAGCAATTACCTCTTCTGCATGGTACTTCAGCCCATCACTCGTGAAAGGGGCAAACTGATGCCTCTGGTTGACCATGGTCAGCTCGGGTGAGTCCTGAGCCTCCAGGGTGGGTTCTCCTGCCTCACCCGTGTGCTTTGCTGCTCCTTTGGGCTCTTCTGCCCCCTCCTTACAGGAGAGCCCGACAGGGCTCCTGCCCGAGGCGGCCGTGCTGGGCAGCTGCCTTTCCTGGGGCTGCGGTAACGGCTCCTCCTTTGCACAGTCCATCGCAGCAACATCTGGTTCAGTACTCAGACGTGTCCTGGAGCCTGCTAGCAAAGGTTTGGCTGAGCCAAACCGCCTGCTCCCCCTGGAAAAGTCCTCTTTGCTCTTCTGGCTCTTCTTTGGGCTGCTGGCCGCGGGAAGGCTGAGAGGAGTCCTTGGCGAGCGCGCTGGGCTGCCCGAGCGCCTCCTCCTCCGCGTGCCTCCCTTCTCGCTGCCTGAGCCGGCCCCATCAGCGCGGGGTGGGCTGGGGCCCATCTCGCCGGGCACGCTACCGCTGTGGTTGCTGCCAGCAGATGACTGGCTGCTCCGCCTTCGGACTCTGGCCGCACAATCCTCTTTCTCGGCATCCTCCTGGCTCGGGACCCCCCTGTGCTCCTGTGCCTCCCTTTTCTGACCGTCCCTTTTCTGGTTATAGCTCCAGGCCGGGTCTTTCTCTTTGCCTCTCTCGCTTCTTCCCAGGCGTTTCTTGCTAAAGCTGTACTTGGTCCTCCCGATGAATCCCGTGCCATGCTTCTTCCTCCCCCGGAGCTTGCTGCACTCTGCCCCATCATCATCCGAGTCGGAGACGTAGTCGTACTCCCGAAACCTGCCCTCCTTGGCGGCTGGCAGCAGCCTCTCGGTGACCTGGGGGAACTGCACCTGCTTGCTGCTCTTCACCTGCAGTTTGTGGAGCTTGTTCTTCTGCTGCACGATCTTGTGAATGAGCTCCTTGCTCCACGTCCCGCTTCGGGGCTTCCGCTTCTTCATGTCCTTCATAGAGAACCGGGGCGGCTTGGAGCTCTTGGTGGCAACACCCGGCCCCGCCTCGCTCTTCGTCGGAGGCTCCTGGCTGAGCTTCCTGGGATGCTTTTGGCTGGTTGGAGGAGGTGGTGGCTGGTGGGACGCTGCTATTCCTGCCTGCCCGCAGCCTGGCCGTCCGCTCTGCTCCCGCTGCCCCGGGATCCGGCTCCTGGGCTGCCAACCTCCGTGCCGCCCTCCCCTTGTGAAGGTGCTGCTTTCCTGCCCCTCTCTTCACCTGCTCCCCACCTGGGTGGCCGTCCTCGTAAAAATAGCCAGCCTTGGGCTGGCCCACTGCCTTCTCCTCCACTCCTGCCTGCTTTGATTTGCTCTCTGAGGCCAGGGCTTCCTTCGCCTTGTGGGACATCCCGCCACTGGCTGCCTTCATGCCCGTCAGCTCCTCATCGGCAAACACGTCTATGAAGCTGCTGTCGATCTCTGGGTTATCTGACTGGTACCCCAGGCCGTTGAGGGCTTCGGTGATCAGGCTGTCCAGCTTGGCATCGTCAATGTCCAGGTCCGAGGCGGTGAGTGGCAGGGAGCTGGCGGCAAGGCCGTTGAAGAGGCCACCCTTCAGAGCATCTTCCTTGCCCTCGCTTTTGCTTTCCCCATCCAGCAAGAAGTCATCGCTCTTGTTTAACGCCAACAAATGCGCCTGGGGGTCCGGAGAGAGCCCCAGGCTGGGGGCCTTGTGGGGCTCCGGGGGGAGCGCTTTCCGCCCCTCGGCTACCCGGGGAGCATCCTTGCCCTCTCCCTGGGGAGCGGGATGGGAGGCGCAGAACTGGCGGTGCTGCAGGAAGGAGGAGAGGTTGCTGTAGTTCTGGTCGCACTGCTTGCAGGTCAGGAGCACGTCCAGCTGATCCAGGCTGGCGCTGCTGAGTGAGCTGGCCAGCAAGTGATGGGAGGAGTACGGCGGCGGAGGCTGCTCCCCATCCAGCCCATCCGAGCATCCTTTTGCCACCTCCACGCCGGGTTTGTGGAACGGGCTTGCCGGAGCGCATTTCAGGAGGTTGTCCTCTTTCAGGGCATCAGGAGGGAAGTGGAAGGTCTTCATGGAGTCCGGGGGGTGGTAATGAAGCGAGCTGGAGCTCAGGACATCGGAGGGGTGGAAGGGTTTGTTGCCGTCCTTGGGATGGCAGGGGTGCTGGAAGAAGGGAGAGGGTGTCAGCGCTCCGGACATCTGGCTGTCTTCAAAGCTGGGGTTGAGGGGGCTGCTGGACGTGGGGGAGAGCGACGAGCAGGTGCTGCCACAGGTGGGGTTGGGGACAGGGGACGGCAGCGGGGACTCGCAAGGCGAGGCAGCCACCAAGGCTGACGGCGGCAGGACCAGCGTTGAGCCCGACGAGCTCCTGGAGGGAGGAGGACCTGCTTGACCGATGCCGTAGAAGAAGGCTTTTCCCCCCTCTGGACCCCGAGGCTCTCTCCCGACAAGAGCTTTTTACCGTGATACCCTGGGGAGAGTTTTACGGGGGACCCTTTCTGGGCCTTCCCGCTCCCCTGCCACTCCGACGTGCCCAGGGGGAAGGGGAGCTTCTGGCTGGTGATCTGTCTCGACAGCTCTAGCCTGTTTTGACCGGGCATTGCAGAAGTGAGGTGTATTTGCTGCCAAGGCATCCTGGCATTTTTCTGCCTGTGCTGCCTCTGCTCGGGGCCAGACTGGCACTCGAATGAGAACTGGTTTCCAACAGGGTTTGAATAAGGTGCTGAATTCTGATCCATGGGAGAAAACGCCTTAGTGGCACCTTCCCAAGCTTGCACAAGCCTGGGGTGGGTGGGTGCCGTAGTGGGAATGCTTGTCTCGAAAGGCACGGATCCTGCACTGGCGCTGCCCGCGGGGGAACTGTAATAGGCTTTGCTCTGAAAGTGCACTTGGGGGAGAGAGTTTGGTGGCATGTTCCTTCTCAGAGGGCTGCTCTGGACCAGCAGCCGCGGGCTGGCGACACTGTCTTTCGCTGAGGCTTGCCTCTTACCGACTGGCTTTGGCATACTAGGCGAGTGTAAACTAGACGGAAAAACAGCTTGGTTTTCTTGGAAAGTGCTTGGGTTTTGGTCGATAGCACCAGACGACGCGAGAGCACCATTGGGGTCGGCGGGATGCTCGCTCCTGCCCTTGCAGCATGGCAGCGGGCCGTGGTGCGGGGCCGGCGGC